CAGCCATGACCATGAACTGGCGCTTGGTGCAGTAGATGACCTGCTTGTGGAAGGGTATCTCGTAGTTCTTGGTCTCGGTTTTCTTTGTTTCGTTCTGGCGGCGGTGTTCAATCTGCTGATGAAGCTGAGACTCAAACTCTTCCACATCTTGGATGTTCCTCCTGTAGGCGTCGCTATTCTTGTATGCCCAATCAAACTCCTCGGGGGTTCTCGGAATTCGGGACTCGTAGCCATCTCGAATGTGGCGCTCATGCTCGTCGGTTACCGAAGTTAGAAAGTCTGCAGTTGTCCATCGGTCTGGGCACTTGAAGCCGAGGTCGATGAAGTACTGCTTTGCGGATTCAGAGGGTCCAAAATAGAGACACTTCCCCTTGTCGATGAGAAGCACTTTATCGACAAGGTCATAGAGGGACTCGCCGGCTTGGTAAAGTGACACGGCCGTCGATGTCTCTGCCATGTTTGTCATGGCACGAATCGATCGGACATACTCCACGGCAGTACTGGCATCGAGGCCTTTGCTTGAGTTGTCCCAGCCTTGAACGGATGCACGAGTAATCATGGCCTCTGCAATGCTGACACGCTTTCTTTCACCGCCCGACACGCCTCTGACATACTCGTTTCCAACCTTCGTGCCCAAGGTATGCTCGATCCAGAAGAGCTTTGTGGCAACTCGCATGAACTCTTCGATGTAGTCCTTCCTACTCTCACCATCAAGTCTTGATTCCTTGCCAGGGGTTCTCGTCTCCAGTGCAAAGTTGAGGGTTCTCTTGACAGTCAGGGTTGGATAGTGGAGATCGTCTTCTGGGTTGTAGATGATTTCTCCGCGAAATCTCTTGCTCATCTCCTCAGCGGGGGCGCCTCCATAAGTGACCTCGCCTTCAACGGCTTGGAACCCTGCCCTTTGATTGCAGAAGGCCTTGAGGAAAGTACTACATCCTGAGCCTGGACGTCCAAGAACAAGAAGAAGCTCTCCAGGGCGTACGCAACCATCAAAGTGACTGATCAGCTCCCGAACCGGAGGCTTTGCGAATGCAGCCTTGGGCCCTCGAGCGAAAAGCATTTTGATCTTGCGGGGAAACCCGAGAAAGATGTCTCCAATCGTGGGCTGTAAACTGGCCCCAAGACCAACGCCTTTGACCGTGAGATCGCGGAAAACAACTCCACTGTGCCGCGTTTTCTCCTCCTCGCTCTGTTCTTGCCGAGCTCGACCAAATATCCGAGACATGAGACGTTCAACCTCTTGCTGCTCCTCCTCCTGCTCAGCATCTGACTGGTGCGTAGCATTGGTACGACGGCGAGACAGTACTCGGAAAAGGTCATCTTCGGTCAAATTGCTTCCTTGTCTGCGCGCCTCTGGTCGTTTGGTACTGCTGATATGGGTCTTGAGGGGCGCGAAGTGAGTACTGTCCGTCGGCGATAGAGCATTTGCGGAGGGAGAGGATGGCGCCGATTCATCATCGATAGGGGCATTCTTTTCCGACAAATATTCTGTTCGCGAAGCTCTGCGGCTACCCGAGACCGCAAGACCGTTGCCAGAAAGCGTAACAGTAGAAGAAGAGGTGTCGTCGCGGATACGCGATGTCGTGGCAAAGTAACTCGTGGTGCTCCGGGTAATTTGGCTTGATTGTGTGAATGTGGCATTCTGAGCGTTGTGCTGGCCGTGACTAGACAATGTCATCGGCGTAGGACGCCCACTGGTCGGAGCAAGACTGGGCGTCTCGGGGAAGCCGCCAGGGACGTCAGTGTCCCGAGGCGTGGGCTTCTCATCCATGATGGTTTTGAATGTTTTCCAAGAAGCAGATAGGAGCTGATACACCACTATGGTTCCTGCAACGTAGTGATGGCGATCAAACAACTACAGTGCACATCACCGATGCAGAGAGCGTAGCGTAGAGGACGTTGTTGACGGGAACCCGTAAGTAAATAATATTGTCTCAGTGAGTCGATGGGTTGTTGTTTTTCGTTGAAACCACATGCCAACAAAACGCCAGTCAACACTAGGCCGGTTCCAGAATATCGACCACATCTTCAGGGGGTAGACGCGAGCAACAAAATTCGATTCCAACTGTAGTGAACTAACGGCGTCGGTCATCTGTTTCCGCCGACCGTTAGTCTAGTTGAGATCTATGACGACGTATAATCAAGTACTTGCAGACCACGTCGGTCGCGTCAGCGGGACACTGGTGTAGGATATCGGCCAAGTGGAGACCACTAGATCTTTCTTCTTCAAGCAAGGAGCCTCATCTGGCAGGCTTAAGCTATGCTTTCGTCATAGATCCACGAAGCCGCGCGATGGCGCTGACACGCTATGGGAAAAGGTGCATCCCAATCGGCGATTAGGCCATTCCTTGACCGAGAAGTCAATCCCACCGGCCAGAATTCCCTTAATACGGACATTTTCGACCCCCGAATTGTGCGAGAGGCCACAACCAGATTACAATGTCTTGCGCTCATGTTCATTGCGGCTGGAATCATTGAGACAAGTCAATCTTGGCATCTGGACTAAAACTGGCTAGAGTGCTCGGGCCCATGAGTAAAAATGCCGGGCGGATTTGGCCGTGTTTCTTTTTGATCTGATTGGTCCACGGATGAGTCCGCTGCTCAGTGCCCTTCAAATGGGACTTGCGCTTCGTCTTCGTTCAGTCTTTTGCCAATTGAACTCAGGCAATCGCACTTTGGGTGAAATATGTCACCTAACTAAGTGGAAACATATGTAGTTTTACAACGCCGAATCAGTCTGAGAACCATTTTGAGAAGCTTTGGCTCATTTACAGAATACCTGTTCTTGACTGCGTGTGATTGAATAATTTCGCATCAATCTTCCGGTAAAGTTGTGATTGTTCACTTCCAGGGATGGCCCGCGATCGCGATAGATGAAGACAATTAAAAGGCGGTTGGGCCCATTGGCTGCTTAACAACTGGCTCTCCAAGCTCATGAGACCCGTACATCAAGCATGTTGTCAAGTAAGTGCTTAACCATATATCCCGAAACCAGTGATGACCATGCCAGGAGTTTGATCTTCAGCTTGCCATGTCTTCTCCTACAGTCTGCACCTTTCAGCTCGCTATTCATGGCTTATGCCTCCAAAGGATTCATGTTTGCATAGAATCAGGTCGATAACTCTGGTGATGTACACACCGACCATGCTGGAGCCATAAGCTTGAGGTATTGTTTCGAGAGATCCAGATACACCATACCAGGTCAGGTGCAGATCACAAAATTGCACGGATCTAGGAAAAGAGCTTGATATCGGTACCACGATATGGGAATATCACAAAAAGAAAAATTGGAATATTTCTATTGGCGAAAACGACATGGATATTGCTCTAAATTCTAATGCTTTTCTGCCCAGAAATGCAAATCAAAGTAACGGTTCCAGTAATACTACTTCGAGTTTGAAGCCAAATGCGTCAAAGCCCATTCGCGCTGTGCGTCGATGTACTCCTGGCTAAACGTGTAATCGTTGTATCCAATCTCCGATCCTCTGATGTAGAACGAGAATCGGTGGTACTTTGTGAGTGGAACGCCGTGCTTGAATCGCCAGACAAGATCGGGGTTTGCAATGAAGCTTCTTCCAAATGCAACGATGACATCCCACTTTGCGTAGTGCCCATCAAGTGCCTGGGCAGCGCTCTCAGGACCATAACCACCCGCCACAACAACGGGGGATAGGTTGTCCCAGATATCGAGGATGAAGTCAAGTGTCTGTTGAGCAATCTTAGGATCGTGCGTAGTGTTCAAAAGCTTGGCCGGGTCGCCTCGAGCCTCAACAAGCGACAGATAGGCGAAAGGAACGTTCATCTTCTTCAGTTCCTTGACAATATATGTGTACTGTCCGTGGATATCAGACGACTCTGCACCTTGGAACGATGCATACGGAGAGAGTCGAAGCGCCACTTTTTCAGCGCCGATGACCTCAACCACTGCCTTAATGACTTCAAGGAGAAGCCGAGCCCGGTTTTCAATAGAGCCTCCCCATTTGTCGGTACGCTTGTTGACGGAATCTGAGAGGAATTGGTCCAGTAGGTAACCGTGGGCTCCATGAATTTCAACACCGTCACCGCCTGCAGCAACAACTCTCTTGGCGGTGTCTGCAAAGTCTTGGACAACTTGCAAAATCTCCTCTTCAGTCATTTCCTCGGGGACAGCTGCGCCAGGCTCCATTGGCACAGCACTTGATGATCGAAACTTGTAGCCGCGCTGCTTCTGGTAGTCGGGATCTGCAGCTCGTCCTTGAGCCCAGATTTGCTGAAACCATACACCTTTCTTCTCATGAACTGCAGCAATAACCTTTTTCCAAGCAGCGACTTGCTCGTCTGTGACAAAAGCTGGGCCGTGGGGTACTCCAGTCTCCGGCATTGAAGTGCCAGTGGCCTCTGAGATAATCAAAGTTCCCGGAGTTGAGGCTCTGTCGCTGTAGTATCGAGGGACAAAAGGTTTTGCCACGTGATTTGCATCGTTTCGGTATCGGGTCAACGGTGCCAGAGCGATCCGATGCTCAAGTTGTGTATTGCCAAGCTTCAAAGGCTTGAAGAGTTTGCTTTCCGTAATGTTAGGCGATGCCATGTTGAACTGATGATTGATACTGCTGGATGGTTGATCGTGCTGGTATGTTGACTCAGAGCGGGATATGTTGACGGGTAGCAAGAAAAATCTATGCAAGTCGCTGATAAAAAAAACTGTTGCGAAATGTCTATTTTGTACCAAGTCAATAGGAGGTTTCTTTCGTCATTAAATACTATCTACTCTTCAAGTTGTTTCCTTGTTTTTGAGAAGGCCCACACATGAATCGGCGAGTCAGCCAGAGGACTGATTCGTGATGTTGTGGGCAACTCCGCAACTCCGGCTTGGCGCCTTACGAAGCGTGCAGCAGCTCCGTGATTCCGGGACAACCCGATCTCCCGTGCCGCTGTAAATGACATATTTAAGTGGTTCTTGGAATTTGTCATCCCGCTCTTAGTCATCGGAGATAGACCTTTTCATCGGAGACCAAGAATGGCGTCAGTTCCGTATTTGTGGGTAGCAACGTGGCTTTGGTACACCAAAAGCAGGACGAGTTGACTTATTACTTGCTTTTGCTCTTCGAATTCCTTCCCAGCAGTCCACCGGCTACTGAGCTTGACATTTTGCAGCCATAGCTAAAGAACGTTAGGTTGAACGAACCTAGCAATCAATCTGTAACTACCTCGAAAAAAGACTTACTACGGCTGTTGAGGCTGCGCTGCACAGGCTCAGCATGATAATATGAGTTAGTCGGTCACATCTTCTTTTGCATGATAATTGAATTTCACGTCCTTTCACACGCCGGTCGTGATTAATTTGACAACATCAATATGCTACACTGAGACCTCAGACAGAAGGTGTTTGGAAAATAATTTAATCACTAGGAAAATTTATGATCCTGTCAATCTATCCAATCCATTGAATCATCCCCGTAAGCATATGTCTTCTCCACACTAGGAAGTCCCAAAACATCTCGAAATACCATTCTTCAAGCGCTGTCGAAAGCCTCAACGGCAGCTTGAGCAGTGGATGTAGCACTGGCTGGGTTCTGGCCTGTCACTAGGCGACCATCAACTACATGAAAGTCGTCCCAGATACCAGGAGCACGCACATCTTTTCCAATGTTAGATCCGAAGAACTCACCCACCAAGTAACGGCTGGGTCATCAATAGAGAAAAGGGGGTAAAACTCACACGTCGCCCCGAGTCTAATTGCCGTCTCCTCCACCATCTCAGCACCCCAGCTTCTGAGTTCATCCATGATCCCCATGAAAGATTCGGCTTCCGTGGTAAATCCAGTAATTCTCTTGTTCTTGATCAAGGGCTCATTGGTGCTATGGTCGATCAGATTGGCGAAAAGTGCTGGTCCGTGGCAGACAGAACAGACCACCCCTCCATTCGCCCAGACTTGCGCTGCGATTCGCTGAAGAGAAGAGGCCGTGGGATAATCGATGAGGGCAGCATGGCCGGCAGACGCGTAGAATAGCCCGTATGCGTTACCATCGAGGTCAGCGGCTTTTGGCATGTTGTCGAGCTTCGTGCGGAATTCGCTCTTGGTATCATTCCAAATGTTCAAGTCTTCGCCGTTCAGGAAATCTGGCTGTGTCGAAAGCCAGTCAGGGGTATATGTACCAGTTTCGGAAGCGAGATCAACCTCAAAACCAGCTGCCCTCAAGACTTTGTAAGGATGCAGCGCTTCGCTGATGAAGAGGCCGGTGGTCTCCTTCCCCTCGAATAAGGTACCACGAGCAGAAGTTATGCTAATCAGAGCTCGGCGCGACAAGGACATAGTGGCTTTTGGAGCAAAGTGCCTTGCTAGACGAAGAGTGACGATAGGGTTGCTTGATTATCGATATTTGACTCTAAGTATCAAGTTGCGAAATAAATCTGAGTTAAGGGATTTCAAGAAGTAGAGTTGGTGATTCGAACGGTAGGATTTATACCCAGTACATGCTTTTGTCTTTGAAGGAACGAGGCACGTTTATTCGTTCGCAAAAGGAGTTGTTTCGATTGGATTGTTGGTTCACGTTGTAGGAGCAACTCCTAGTGGTCAGGAAAGGACCAGAGTAAGCAGAGCCAGGACATGCTCCGATTGGTGGAATGCATCATGAATGCTTACGTCTACTGTCGGGCAATTCTTTGATTAATCGGTCGCGCATTTAGCTCGAAAACAAATGACACTTCTAACTATTGCCCACTCGGAGCAATTGCATTCGCGGTCACGTTGCTAGTTGTTTGGACGTGTGTCAAAGCGTTGGGATAAGCCCAATATCAATATTCCTATCAAAAGAGAGAGGACTCGCCAAATGTATTGATATCGCCGACACCCAGCATGTCGATGTTGGCCCAGAAATCTACGCCAACCGCCATTTCCGTGAAATCGAACTCCGGAAATTGAGTCAAAAGCTCAGGGGATGTGGATGTATGGGTCAGTTCAGAGGCAAAGTCATTGGCCACCTCCACTTCCTGGCCGATACGCAGCGTAGATAATTCTGCTGGTTCCTTCTGACCATAGTGCTGGGAAGAAGCCGATATCAAGCCATCGATCTTGGTACACAGCATTCGGACAACAGTTTCAGCATTTTTTGCCAGCTCGAAACTTTGGCCAAATGTACTAAAAACTGACAAGGCTAAATCCATGGCACTTCTTGCGGATACGACTGCAGAATGACGCGGATTGGCCAAGATAAATCCGGCTAATGTGATGGCAGAATTCCATTGCCACTGGAACGCTTCATGCCATCCATCGAGAATAGCCGTGGACGAAAGGGCTTGTTGGGTAATCTTCGATAGTTCTATCGCATGGTTGATGCTTTCTACTGCGACTGTCTCGAGAAGACTTCCGACCGCCGGAACTCTTTTGAATGAAATGAAGGGTCGGTAAAGGTTGATAGACATGTGGTGATATTCCATTTCCAGGAGAAGGCGCTGTCTTTGGAGCCAGAGAGGGGCATACTGCTCAATAACGAGAGCCGAGCCGTCAGTTGAAAGAATGCGGCCATTGTTTACTCGGCTGTTTTTGAGCGCACCAGGCAAGTTTTGCACCCATCTCTCTATCATGACAGTATGAGGTTCCAGACTTTCGGCTACCTTGGCCAAGGATGTGGGATCATCCCATATGGTCTTGTGTTGTCCAAGCCCAACGTCGTGACTGTATAATGTAGTATGAGCATCTCTCATTGTTTTGAATAATTTGAGGTGATGAAGACTAAAGCTTAGCCAGGTAGCGTCCCCTGAGATTGGAGCGAATGTAGATCCTGATAACATGGAAGCGCCAAGCTGGTCATCTGGAAAAGGCGGCATAAAAAATGAACCATGTAGTAAGAAGGGGCGGCCCAGCTTCATCCCGACTTTGCTGTCCAAGACATAAACAGCCCACCAAAGTCGACGTCTTACTTGACGTTCTTTCTCAGGTGTATCAAGAGGAGGATCAATGTGCAGACCCAGCATATAGGCTATGCGTACAGCTTGACCGCATATGCTATCTGCCATATTATGAAAAGACGCCCCACACACATAAACAGCTGAAAGGAGATGGCACTGTAGTGTGGAGATAGTAGGGCTTTCCATTTCCCCTGCTAGTAAAGTCTGTGCTCTTCGGTAGTGCCACCGGCCGGCAGTCGTAGCATCGTTTCCTTCGACAATGTTTCCTTGATGGCTAGACGGTAGACTTGAGGCCATGTACTGCATGCACATAGCAACAACAATGTCGACTAACGCTGAAGGCTTGCGAGTATATCCAGGAGGCACATCCAGATAGAGGGCTTGGTATTCTTTTTTGAACTCGGCCTCGTCGACAATGGCGTACAAAGAGGTGTGGTATGATTGCCAAAATAGATTGACGAAGTACTCTTCTTGAATTGGATTCAGATAGACCCCGGGTTTATTGCCGTTGAAAAGTGGCCTCAGCAAATGAGAGGCGTCTTCCGACGTAGTCCTTGACTGAGCAGGCACGGCGCTACCGCTCGTTGATCGGAGAAGCATGTGGTCTGGCTGAGCATGTTCTACATCGGTACTGAGGAACACGCCAAGGCGATGGATGAAGAAGTAAAGAGACGAAGGTCCAAACCATGCAACATGAGGTGATCGTGCGGGTCGAAGCAGAGCACCATCCCAAGGCTTATTTTTTGGCGTGACAAAGTGGACTTCGATGTTACTGGTTGCCGTTGCTTCCACGTTGGCGACTACTTGTTGCGAATGGAGAGAAAATGGAGTTTCAGGATTGGTATGCGCCCCTCGGTGTCGTTGAAGCTCTCGTTCGAGGTCCAAAACTTTCAGCCTTAGTCGATCTATCTCTTCATGGGCCTGAGAGAGAGTCGAAGTTCGGGTTGCTTCCGTGTTGCTGCACTGCTGGCCCCGACCCCTGCAGTTGGCACAAGGAGACGCATCGTCGCATTTGATGCGACGCAAACGACAGGCATCGCACGCTCTGCCGACTTGCCTTCTTTTTGGCCGGATTCCACTCCGTGACCGGTTCTCCGCAAGTTGTGCGCGAGGGGCGGAATTAGCCATGAGTCAAGAGGATCTACACAGGCCAGGGTGACCGAAGGTTGTGGTCTGGCGGTGATGAAGTGCAACGGTAGAGTGACCTCTTGAGCAAATGAGGGTTAACTCTTCTACACGCAGTCACCAGAGGTAGGGCACCGTGGTTTGAGATAGCGGATTGGATATGAAGTTGTCGACGATTCGAAATGGGCTGAGGCCAGGTAGAGGATGGAATAGTAAGCACGCGGCAGGCAACGGCGATGGCACGTGCTGGACGGCCCACACGAGACACCAGCTGGACCGCACGCATTGTAGACTGCCTATCCGTAGAGCCTTCGAGCGTACGGATTACCTACATGTTTTGTTGGCCAACACCCATATATCAACAGCAAGCTGACTTGGTGGCAGTCCTTACAATGCTATACTTGATGGTCTATCCACCATAGCAAGTTTGACCTTTGGCTACCCGTACGAGTCGTTAGGAGTGTTGGCTGATCTGATGGCCCCTGCGCTCCTCGCGAGGTCTTGGTCCAAGAGTCCCCCAAACCCAAAGGTACCTTACTCTGTGATATCAAACAGGCTAAAATTCCACACCAATTCGTTAGCATCTGGTCAATTCCTAGTCTGCAGCTTCACACAATCTGACCAGAAGCAATAGAAAAGGTAAAATGTTTCTAATGGAAGCCGAGCGATTCTATGCTTGGCAGGATGTAGAGTAAAGTATGAAGCCCCGGTTGCATGCATGCCCAAGACAAGACTATTTGACTTGCTCTACCTTATCTCGAAGAGTGAGAGGGTTCTTAAACTTTGATACAGGAATTTTGTACCAAATCACTCACTTTAAGCAATTGAAGCACAGTTCGTACCCCAGCCAGTGTTTTTGCAAAACAATAAGTGCCTTCTTGACGATATCGGAGGCCGAGGAATTCAGCGACATCCGCAATAAGGTTTGGCAACAACTCCCTGTAATTAGATCACGAATCTCCACAACAGGACCTTCCTATTCTGCGCCTGGATGCGAGGATGGACCCTCCGCCCTCCGGCCCCTCTCTGTATCCCGACCATACGAGAACATTGTTGCTCAATGCCGATTGGAGGGGTTAATCAACCCCTAAGATATCTACGCTGAAGTAACATCAGCAGGCCTAATCAAGCTTTCCAGCCTCAAATAGCAGAGATTGCCGACAGATCGGGAACTGACAACACCTACCCAATGCTACCTAGGCAGGTGGCTATCTGCATCTCGAAATTGGGACACAGGAACTTCTGAAAGTGCTCTTGGTGGTGATCAGTTCGTATCGCAATCCTTATCGCGAAGCACGTCTTCGAAACTCATCATGGTTTATTCTCACGAAACATTAACCTGTCTAGCAATAAACGCCATTAGTACTTATAATGTGTCGTAATGCACTCTTTAGACTGAATTCTTTTGCGGATTATAGCCATCGTGGCGTCCATCACACTCCTTCCATCTACACTCATTTAAACGCTCCGTCATGAAGGTCCATTCTTTTACTCTTGTAGCTGCCACGGCCCTGATCACGCCTGGTCTGGCGGCGTTTCACCCCGGAGCCGCTGTCAAGGCAAAGCCACCAGTCAACGCTGGCTTCATCATCGAACTTGAGCCAGATGCGTCAATCAATGGCCGCGAGGTCGGCGAAGATACGCACTCTGCTTTCCATCGCCGAGCCGGAGACGTCCTGGATTATTCGGTTCGTCACGAATTCAAAAATCCGGACTACTTCTATGGCTTGTCAATCAATGCAAAGGATGATACCGACGTCGACACTTTGCTTGCTCTACCCCAGGTTAAGAAGGTCTGGCCCAACAGATATTACGACCGCCCCGAACCAGTTGGTTCTAGCCGGGGATCAAAGACTGTCAACCCCTCTGTTCCCATCGGAGTGCAGTCTGTCCAGCTCAGAGCCGCTGCACAGGTTGTCACCATCAATGGCACCAGTGACGTCCTTTCCAGTCTTAAGATGACTGGCGCTGACAAAGTTCATGCCCAGGGTCTGACTGGGAAAGGCATCAAGATTGGTTTCCTCGATACTGGTGTTGATTGGCGTCACCCAGCCCTGGGTGGTGGCTACGGCGAGGGCTTCAAGGTAGCGGGAGGCTATGATTTTGTGGGCGATGACTTTGTGGGCTGGAATGATCCAGTCCCGGATAATGACCCATTGACTACGTGCTTGGAGGGCGGTCACGGTACCCATGTTGCTGGTATGCCATATTGAGGAGAAGCCAAAACCTCGCCCTAGCTTGTGCTAACTCGTCATCGCAGGAATTCTCGCTGCCAAGGACCCCCAGGGCGTTGGATTTGGCATCTCTGGTGTTGCACCTGATGCATCTCTTTATGCCTATCGCGTTCTTGGCTGCAGTGGAGGTGTCACTGATGACATTCTCATGCAAGGCTTTGAGAGAGCTGCTAGCGACGGAGTTGACCTCATCAGCATGTCGATTGGTGAGACAACTATTTGGGAAGGTGGCTCACCGTACATCCCGATTCTTTCCAAGATCCAGTCCCAGGGCATCGGAATCGTCATTGCGGCCGGTAACGAGGGCGACACTGGCCTTTACGTTTCCTCGGCACCAGCACAAGACCCCAATGCAATCTCAGTCGGCTCCGTAAGCGACTTCCACTTTGCTACGGTGTACAACGCTGCTGGTTCAGATGGTTCCACCATTGAGTACGGTCGTGTTGTTCCCCTCAACGCTTCAGCACACTTCAACGTCTTCGTCGCGGACGACGATAATGGAGAATGCGTGGACCAAGCATGGAACGACGCGATTGCCAGCTTCCCTGACAAGGACAGTGTGGTCGCATTGGTCACCGCGAGAAGCGACTGTTACTACGATATCCTCGATGAACGCAGCAACTCTTCTGGCTTCACGAATGTCTGGGCATGGTTTCCTGATACCAGTGACATGTCCATCGACGAGCCAGGTGCGAATGGCGACATCGATACGGTCAAGGTCAAGAAGTCTGAGGCAAGTAAAATTCTTGCCGGTATTGCTAAACAGGGTAAAAACTTCACTTTGACTTTCGAAGACCAAACTGTTCATCAGATTGATCAGCCAACTGGAGGCACTACCTCATGGTTCTCAACTTTTGGGCCAACCATGGAAATGTCGCTCAAGCCTCAGGTATCTGCACCTGGAGGAACAATTCTTAGCACGTGGGTTACATCCAACGGATGGGGATATGCGGTCATCTCTGGCACATCGATGGCCACCCCTCAGTAAGTCGTGTTTCCAAAGCGAAGGTGGCCTTGAGCTGACACGTCATAGCCTTGCGGGTTGCTATGCCCTTGTGAAGCAGAAATTTCCTCATCTGAGCCCGAAGGAGATCGCGAGACGTTTGCAATCGTCCGCAACTCCTCTAAAGCAATACAACGCGACCGACATTCTCACAACTACCGCTCAGCAAGGCTCGGGATTAGTAAACGTCCTGAGAGCAGTCACATCGGAAACCGTTTTCTCTGCAACCGAGTTCAACCTCCGCGACTCAGCCGGCCCCCTCGATCGGAATTTCACAATCGAGAACTTGTCATCTTCTCCCAAGACTTACACGTTGGGTCACAAGCCTGCAGCGGAAGTCAACGGACTACCAAATGGCAACAGTCTCGACATCAACGACATGTTCTACTGGGCACTCAACTTCAATCCTGTTTACTCGGAAGTTTCATTCCCAACGAGCTCCCTCACAATTCCTGCTGGTGATAAGGCGACTGTAGAGTTCACGATCATCCCTCCCACTGTTGACGCTTCCCTCCTGCCGACCTACAGCGGTCTCATCACAGTCACCGAGGGAGAGGAGAACTTTTCTATCGCCTATCTTGGAATCCCGTATGCCCGCGGCGAACTCTCCAACATCTACACAGGAGACTTGAAGAATCTTGATGTCTCCCCAGCGCCTCCTTCCGGTGTTCCTTTGCTGCCATTTATTAGTTCTTCTGACGCGGGAATTCGCAACAACGATAAGACGGTTTTCACATTCCCCGCCAAGAAGGTTGCCGAGAACCAAACACAGACGCCTGACAACGATCCAGTTCTCACAGTTTTCATTGACCAACCATCGGCGTATGTCCGCTTTGACGCAGTACCTGCCGATATCGCGTCCAACCCCGCTTACAACTTCACGCCGTCGACATTTGGCTATCTCCCGGAACCCCAAACGAACGCTACCGCATTCACTAATACGACTGTTACTACTCCTCCCCTGGACTTGGACACCCTTGACCACGTGGCAGGATTGAAGAGTTATGGTCTCGTTGGCCTGCTGTGGGGTGGCGACGTGCCTCATGGAAAAGTTGCCAACAACTTCCGAGGCTACAGCGTTTATAGCACTGATTGGTCATGGGGAGTTGTTGAACTGGCAAACGGAACCATCTACCAGTTGCCGAATGCTGATTATCGTATTCTGGTCCGGGCATTGAAATGGGGGGGTAACATGAACAGCTCGACTGACTATGACAGCTGGCTGAGCCCGATCATTGGGGTCAACATCACAGACCCGGGATATCCCAACCCTTGGCTCACCCAGTGATAAAGTTGAATATGCTGCAACTTTGGTTCGAGACTCTGGATATCTTCATGACACATATCATATGCAACGGAAGCCTGTACTGGCAAGTGTCAGACCGTATTTTGATCCTTCTCCTACCTTATGTACTCACCTTAGATGTAGTATAGAAACATTTCACCTAGCGAATACTCTGCTGTCATAAATTGCCTCCAAGACACATAAGTATCTGTAGTGATATGTATAGTGTTCTTCCAACGGTCGTTCCTTGAATATGAGCCTTATCCAAAACGTACCATATGCCGAGGGGCGTTGGTACCAGAGAGGATCAAGATGACCGAGGGCGAATTAAGACAAGCGTTTAAGTGATATTGTATCTAGGGCGTGGTACCGACACAGTGAAAGATAATGAAGATCCAAGCTTGGAGGGAGACTTGAAGAGTATCGTGCCAAGGATTTCCTAACCTAAAGAGATGGTTTTATCATCTTGCATGTTGTATCGGCCTCTTGGGATTGACCTCGGCGCGTCACAACATCAGTGCGACACCGAGAGGCGCAACGTGCGACAGCCTGCCCAATCCCCAAATTCTCCGTCTATGGCCAAGAACGAGCCTATCTTCATTCAGTAACCTTATGTCACCCGGTGGGATATATGGATGGCCGCCATTCAGACGACAAGCGCCGCATCTGATTGGATCTCAAGTTACCTACCTAAGCTACTTAGTATGCCACCACGACCGTATCTCAGCAGTAAAAAACATCTTCATTTCCCGACTGTAACTTCGAGATTTTAACAATCAATCAAGCCTCCCATTTGACTTTATCGCTTCTCCACACCCAATCACATCATGATTTCTCCCACGCTTCGAAATGTCGTTATTGGGCTTTGGTCTTTTCTTGCGGTCAAGTGTGGTGCGACCAGCTTGATCGTATCATATGAGCCCGGGAATGAAACCTCTGCTACCATGTGGGGAATCATGTTCGAGGCAAGTATCGTGGTCTAAGTTTGCTTTGACTTTCCAAGACTGACGAACAGAGATCTTTGGAGACGCCACCTTCTACGTCGATACTACCAGCGAGAGATTCACCGAGTTTCATCAAAGGCCACTCACAACGTTCTCATCGTTGACGGATATTAAATACAGAATGACGTTTGATGCAGAGCTTGTAGCCGGATCTTCAGTGTGGTTCGCGCTTCCGCAGCTCTACCCAATCACCTTTCACAACCGGTGTGTGGTTATTTACAGTTCTCCATCTTGGAAAGGCATCTGACGTTTGATACTTAGCTATAATGGACTGAAGCCATCTTTGGCTGAGGCAGTGGATAATATTGGTGGAAAGTTTCTCAGATTCCCCGACGGCAACAACCTGTACGTTTTGAGTCATCGACGTTTTCAGGCAGACAACGATTCCTAACAACCCCAAGAGAAGGACCCGATGTCGAGAATCGATGGAAGTGGAATGAGACAATTGGTGCTCTGACTTCTCGCCCCGGTCATCAAGGTATGTCATGAAGAGAAACACACAAGTCGATGACATCAACTAACACATCACAGGGGCTTGGGGATATCCAAACACAGATGCTCTGGGTAGGAACATCATTTATCCTTCTCACGATAGGTAAATTTGTCACTAAATTTTCTCAGGTCTTCATGAGTACTTTGAGTGGTGTGATGACATGCATTTCAAGCTCTTTCTGGACGTCTATTCCGGGTACGCTCTTGACGGCACTCATATCACTGGCGAGGATTTGCGACCCTTTGTTGACGAAGTTCAGTGCGAACTCGAAGTAAGTCCCAAAGTCCACGACATATTTCATTTTCCTCAATCTAATGTGTTTCTGTTGAAACGTATGTTCTTGGCGATTCGTCGACTCCAATAAGAGCTCTGCGAGCCAAAAAAACGGGCGTGAGCAGCCTTGGCCCATGAAATGGGTTAAAATCGGAAACGAAGACGATTTCGGTTGTAGCAGTTACCTGGAAAGATTTGCTGCCTTTTATAACGCCATCTGCCTGGCGTATCCAGAGCTTCAACTCATTGCTTCAGCAACTGGATTCAATTGCCTACCTGATCCATTTCTAGTAGATGCGTGGATCGACTACCACGCATACAATGTCCCTGAAAACTACATTGTCAACTTTGCTCAGTGGGACAATGTCTCCCGCAGGAATAAGTACATCATTGGCGAAATGGGTCATTGGGGGGTACAGTGGTCGGGCATGAAGGGTTCAGTTTCCGAGGCCATCTTCATGCTTGCATTGGAACGCAACAGCGACCTCATCCGAGGTGTGGCGTTCGCACCCTCAATCAGTCTTGTTGATCAACCGCAATGGGCTGTAAGTTTTGCACTGTTCCATACTTTCCCAGCACGACATTTCATTGATATAATCTTGTCCAGCCCAATCTGATTCCGTTCAAACAAGCGCCTGACGCCATTGTTTACACCTCCAGCTACTGGGTACAGCAGCTCTTCGCACAGAACTCCGGAACCATGACACATGAGATCACCCCGGACACCCGTTATTGTTAAGCTTGCCAATTATGCTGGTGAGCCGCAACATCTAAATATCAAGATTGCAGGAAAGAAGTCTGCGACACTGTCAATCCTAGGCTACGACAACCCCGATAGCGCCAACACCTACGATGCAGCTCCTATCTCGCCACCGGTAGTCTCACACATTGAGTCATCCGATAATAGCTTCGATTTTCTTTTACCTGCATGGTCTGTTGCGGCTCTTAGGGCTGACTGATTCGATACTATGTCCAAGAGCTTACGGGTTAACCGCTTAGCCAGGTGAGCGTAAAGAAATTCGCTATTACTATTCTACATACCTCTGTTTATGGTTTTACATTACTTATGGTTATGGACTTTAATTAATTTACTTCACAACTAAATGATGGTCTGTTTGACAGGATTGATAGCGCCGTCGTGATTGTGAAATGACAAATATCTACATTAGGCTGAATGGTGAGAAGACTTGAAACTCTTCGTCATCGCTAGCAGAAGCGAATGATGAGCCCGATGCTTTGAGACAGACACTTAATGAGAGTTGATGATCCGGCAGCGACTTTCGGTATGCCCGGCCAATATCATTATGTTCGTCAAAGGTTCATAGGCCTGTTCATCTACCAGGAAGGGGCGGGTCACCACAGCATCCGTAGTGAAATATAACGTATATTAGCTACCTTTAGACTGAAATACTACACTTTCTCCTCACTAGGACTACCGATCTTCTTTTTCTCTGAGAATCTCGCCGCTATGGTATATTGTCATTCTTAAAAACGGATAGCCTACTTATTCGTAGCACAGCATATGACTAAGATGACTTCCACCAAGGAGGCTATTCATAGCGCAGCATTTGATCGGAGAAGCATGGCAAAAGCAGAAGTTCTTGCTGCATGATTGAAAAAATGCGCGGAGACGAAGCGATATAGACAAGAGAAGTAGATGTACGTTCTTGGGAAAGATGCAATGAGCAAATCGCGGTCTTTCCTGCGTCGAACATTTGGAATAATATATCTGTTCAGTAAGCCTTGGTGTGCTATAGCATTTCTACCCAGCCACAATTCGTCGAGAAAGCCATTTATAGTTCAGTAACTTAGGCAAATTAGTGAAATAAACATGCGGTTCATCCAATACTCACTAGGTCACGTCAGGTTAATTGTCCTTACAGACTTCTGTGAATCGGTGAGGCTGTCGAAATGGACGAGACACACCGATAGGACGACTCATTTTTAGACCGATGGCTGTTTCTGTGGGCCGTTTTTAGTCCTAGTCCCAGAGCTCAGGGACTTCGCAAAGGTGGCGGCGTTAGACACGAAATCAATCGCAGAGCCTTAGAATCTCGACCGTGAAACAGGATGAAGCCGGCCATTGCGAGAAGAAAGCACATCGTCGGCTCACCTCACTTCCTGCCCGTTTGCTGCCCACCTCAATCTATGTTTTCAAACCTTTTCCTATTGCCTGTTACGAGATGCTAGAAAGTGTGATCCTTAATAGTGCGCACTAATTACCGAAATTGGCCAGGAGCCTAAGAGAAAGGGTATTTCAAGATCACCGTGCGCGGTGCTAACTGATATGGAGTATTCGCAACTCCATCGCACACTATGGATACGCCATTGAGTCAATCACCCCTGCTCCTAAGTGCGGTCCCCCAATCTACTTAACTTCGTCTACCTGTCCACACGAGTCGTCATTTTGGGGCGGTTGATATCCGTCGGATCCTTCGGAGGGAATGTCAGGCCAGGGACCGACTTGACAACTGCAAGATATCATGAGACACTGTCCATTCCCGGATTTTGCGTCCTGCATCCTTTCAGTTTCTACCATTAGACTCGTTATACGCTCATTACACGCATAATCACGCTCTTTATCTGTTAAATATGATGTCTGCTTCTTCGAATTTGCGTTTTCGCATTCTCTGGGGCTTGCTTCTCACCTGCAGACTAAATTCCGGCGCAGCAGCAGTCATCAACACCAATGACCAGAACCTTGCACAACGCGACAGCACGAACACCTATGATAACGCCTACTATGTTGTGCAGGGGTCCTGGAAGTGTGATTTTACCCAACTTCGACTTCTCGATGCAGCCATTAACGAGGCAGAAGAGCTCGCCCAGAAAACCATAGATGTGCTCCAAGTGAAGGGCGCTGAGACGTCCATTTCATATGATACCTGGTTCGGATCGAGTACGTAGATCTGCTTCTGGGAGCGAATCATTTAAGAAGCACCGTGGACTAAGCGCAATCTCACGTAGGTAATGCCAACCCGACAACGAAGGATACAATCATCAATCAGCACTACAAAACAGTGTTGTCGCATCTCCCTTATCCAAACATCCCTGCGGCATTTCGATGGACCACCCACGCTGAGTTCAAAGCGCCACTAAACGAGGCACCGCCGACGGACGACTCGATCGTGTACGGTTGCCGCCAGTCGACGACAGAATGTGCCAGGATGGAGTCCTGGCATCCAATCTGCGAGCGACCGGGATGAAATCAGACGGTACAACGAAAGAATTCGGTCCCTTGGTGCTTGTCCTCTGCCCAGCGTTTTTCGAGTTGAAGAATAACAACGCAGAGATGATCAAGGAATGGCAGAGGACGCTCGGTTTTGGGTCAGGCAACTCCAAAGGTCGCATCTTAGTTCACGAAGTCCAGCACATGGCCAAAGGAACGAGCCCCAGCGAGCCTGCTGAGGACTTGTCAGAGCCACTTCCCGACATATTCGGCCATGACACCTGCTATTCTCCCAGTTGGTATGTTCATGGGTGTCTATTCACCCAGGTTCCATTGAAGATTTGTCGGCGGGTAGCTAACTTTCCGCAGCTGTGCTCGTCTATCTGATACTGATAAGATGAGAAACGCTCAGAATTTTGCTTTATTCACCATAGACGTTCTAGCGTTCCCGAACGCTGGCGCACCAGCGTCTTCCGACAGCTGCAATAATCCCAATCACAAACGACAAGCCCCGATTCGTTCACAAGTTCCAACCTGGAAACCTGTGTTGAACTCAACGTTTACCCCTTTGAGATCCGCCTCTACAAGAAGGCCCTCTTCTACGAAGATACCGACATTCTCCTCACTTCACTCCTCATCTAGCAACTATAAGCCGAGCAGTTATCATGACCCCAGCAGCTACAAACCCAGCAGCTCTTCATTGGAAGCGCCTTATAGTTCCACAGTTGCCAAGCCAATGACCTCACCAACAGCAGCTCCAGTCGACGTATCGAACGGTGTTGTGCTTGCTGTCGCTATTGGGATGGTGGTTGTGGGCGGTGCGGGAGGAGGTTTCATCACAATGGGCGGACAAACGGTCGCCATCGCTGCAGGCCAAACAATTGTCGTCTCCCAGCAGACTTTTGAGGAGCCGGAAGCTGAGAAACCAAAGTCGGATCAACCTGAGAGGACACAGATGTCCATTCAGACAACACCTTCAGCAAGACCTTCATCCACCTCCCGTTCGGCTTGGTCTACTACGACTTCCAATTGCCCTGCCGAGACTTCAAGAGCTTACAACGGCGACGACTTCAACTGCAGAGACCTTCACGACGCCAACTCTACTCTACTTACCGACTTGCTGAGTGGTCTTGAGTTCGGGAATGGGCCTGTATATAATGAATCGTCCATCGCAGTGATCATCCCGGAACCTACATCATTTCTTACAACACTCATTTCTTCCACCACGACGACTGCGCCCGCTCCACCTACAACCAGTTCCGAACCCGCAAACGTCGAGCCTGTGGCCTGTTATAATTTTGATATCAATGCTTACGGCTACTGTTGTCCCGGACCTGGGAACCCCTGTGAGAAGGATCTTGGTAAGTGTTATTTCAACGGAGAAGGTGTCTCTGGTGGAGCCAGTGGAATTGTGCCCACAGGCCCAAGATGCCCTCCGCCACCTGGCGCAGAGTACTGCAGAGGTGCGTGTGAAGAGTAGGGTCGAGTGAGATGTTGGGGGGTGGTATGCAGAACAAGCAGTGATGAATACAAGTGAAATCTTGGAGAGCAGGATACATGTATAATGATGAGAAGTGGGGTGCGCAAGATTATGACTTGATAACGGTTCGAGCGATGGCTGACGCATACCATCTCCTATCATCATGATCACGGGGGTATCCCAATGACTGCGGAATGGTATCAATATATTGCCCTGCGGAGTAGCAGCTAGTCAAATATTATTTCTCATTATTCCGTACTATTACCGCTCAATTTTCTCCGATGCACACAATCAATAAATCAACATGATTTCGGCGTCCCAGAATTTCACAGACGTATACACTGATGCTATTTTCATACTCGATAGGATACTCAATTGTAGCCGCCCAATATGTGGGAGGTTTAGGAAGACTTTCAAGGGCTGGAAGCTCTAGAAATGGAAGGGTCGCTTAGGAGCAAGAAAGTAGTATATATCTATACGTATATATCAAGAGCAGAACAGTTCGCGTGATTACTTTGCTCACAAAGTTAGCTAAGGCGCAAAAATAGAATCATCTTGTCTTCCTGTTACTTCTTGCAGAAGAGCGCATACCCACTCTCTGAGACTCCCTTACTCCCAACATGCCGCTTAAAAAGTCTTAGAATCAAAATAGAGTGCCCCAAGCCTTAAACAGTATGAAGCTACCAACTCCTATTATGCTAATACACAAAAGCCATGTCCCAAGACCCCGTTTGATTTGCTTCATTGCGAACGCCTGAATAGCCTTGCCATCATTGATATTGGGGAATGATACATTTTCGGGTACTGGGAGATCCAGTGCTTTGCACAAGGGCTTCCATCCATCTCGTACGTCGAAGAAGATCAGCCTCTCCGGCGGAACAACGCTCTTTAGGTACGCGATATGGCGGTGATATGTTTTGACGATTGGTAGGTTTGATTCCCCGTATAGTTTGACACAATGCAAGATTAAAGTTTGGACATAGGCTGGGAAGAGCCGCATCGTGGGCAGCAGAAAGAGTACAGAGTGCAAAGCTGATGGTGACACCTCGCCATTCAACCCTCCCATGCTCCTCTCCCAGGCCTTGTCATCACAAACTATACAGACGACTTTGGCATCTGGGTATAGTGTCACAAGCTCCTGAACGAGGTTGGAACCAGGCGCGTCAGTGATAGCAACATAGCCGTCAGTGCGAACGCGTGTGGTGTTCAAGATTTCCTGTTCCATGGCCGCATTCGTCGGTGGCCACTCTAAAAGCACCTTCATCCAGGATTTGATCTCCGATTCAGGGCCAAGACATTACTGAGTTCCGCCGTGAAAGACCGGTCCATCAAGTAGTATCTCTAAGGCACGGCTGATTGAGCTGGTTCCAGTACGCAATAGTCCTGCGCAGATGACCTGCATCTTTACGCCCTTCCGGGGGCGTTAGTATTGTTGCCCCATCGAGAGACTAACGGAATTACTCTGAGAGCCAAGTCAAAGATGTGTCTTGGAAAATGCAATGCTGTAGCAGGGCATACTTCATCTCCAAGCACAAGCATGCTGAAGACATGCCAGTCGGAAAGCAAAAATCAGATGTGCGAGAAGAACGACGTCAGGGCATCCGGTGGAGCAAAAGTTAGTAGCGAAGTCAAGCACCCTAATCCTGCAGTCATCATTCCTTCGCTTATGCCTAGCGTGTTCGACTTTAGATAAGGTACTGATGTTCCGGGAGCGGGAGCATAATCCCCAATGCGCTGGTCGTTGAGCCCTGCTTCAGATTTACCGAGAGCGGTAATGTAGAGTCGCGCCGTTGGATTCGCCATAGATTAAAAAGTCTTTCTAAAAGAGTGCCGAGTAATATTTAGCATTATAATTCGCCCTCTTATCTAGCGTCGTTATTCTGAGCAAGCTATGCTAAGACTCCGGCGATAGTAGACCCGTTTTAACGGTAACGGACTTTGACCGGGGTATCTCCGGTCGGACACTGTGCCCACATGCTTTGGCAGGCACGAAGGCGGACTCGCCTTCGCTCAGCTGAACAGTAGGCAGGCCATGGGACCAACACTAAGTCATCAGATTCGACATAAAGACTTCAGTAGCACCCTGGCACGTAATCTCAAGATCGTACCTGAATTGCATCTAGTTTGCGGCGTCGCCTTCAAACCGCCGGGGTATTCGGGTCGCAGTCTGGTGTATGCTGAACGAGGAGCAATGCTGCTCGAGCTGTAGATTAAAGACGCATGTACTGATAGAAAGGGCGGCAGCTGGAGGACGAGAAAGGTGAATATGTAGCGGCAGATGGATGAGCAAGCGATGATAGCTGGGACGGCTTCTTAACTTCCATTTATTCTGTCCTTAGGGTAATATGAATGGATATTCTCGGGGGTAATATAATAGGGTCTAGGTGCTCTCCGCATTTGTGTCGACTGAGATGGAGATGAGGACTACACTAGAGCGCGCTGGCATCAAGGCCATCAGCTTGTTGAATGATTCAAATCTTCTAGATCCTATTTAGATTCCAACCGAACCCCAGAACGATGGTAAGACTGGGCGTTCGTGCGGGGGAAGTTCTGGACTCCACGTAGGCACGTGGTAGGTAAATTGGAGTGGTAATTACCCACTCAAAATAAGTAACGTTGGATTCGGGGTGAACTGTTGCTTGGAGATACGAGTTGTTGAACCAGCTTGCGTGCCTGCCAGCCCAGGTAGAGCGTGAAAACCCATGTTGATTGAACCTATGACGCATATTTAAGTCCAGGAGTACATCTAATCTGAAGGCAGGCGGGAAGGCCAAGATATGATCGGCAACACTAGCTTCACTGGTTTCCACTCTTTCATCTCAAACGTTCCAATGAAAACCTGCAAACTCTGGTGAACGCGCTCCCAACTGCCTCGAGAGCTCGAGTTTACTGACAAAAGGTGGAGTCCAACTGGGACCGATATCCCCGACACGCCGAAACGTCAGACGAGGGGCTTAGATACGGATGATCATCTCCTGATGTTGTTGCTTGGGTGCCTTTGATGGATGAATCCCCACCTCCTGCTTACCCCAGTGCGGAGAGCGGGGAAGGTAGAAGCGTCTGGGGTTTGGGTGTTGGATCTTGGAACCATGATTAATGGAGCCGCCTGTTTGCAGAGACAGCCTGTCTGGTCGGAAATACATAAGACTTGGCCATGGTCGTCCCCGTTGCTTGGCTTTACTACTCTTACTTGGCTCATCGTTGATCAATTGGCGCAAGTCGCACATTTCACAGTGAACTGTCACAATTTCTGGGTCCCGCCAAGCTGATTTGAACACTGCCAAGCTAACCATGGGAATCAACGAAATCGACCACGTCCCTCACTCGGGCGATGCGTTCGAGAAGGACACAGGCGGCGATTTGAAGCCCCAGACGGAGCTCGCCGAAGGTCTTGGTAGTGGAAAGGCCTCCGCCGTCAACATTGTCGAGAACCCGCTGAAGGTGAGTTCCTGTTTGCGCCAAGATCCAGGATCATGAGTCGAGGGACGCCACCAAAATCACTGACCCGCCTTCTTTTTGCAGCGCAAAACCCCACAGCAAACCGTCGAGGAGGCCGTGGCGTTCGCCGAGACGCACAACCTGGGCGAACATGCCGCCCTCTTCGGCCGGGCGGCTATGGTCGCGCGCGACATGAACAACTTCAACGAGGTTGCAGACCTCTCCGAAGACGAGCGCCGAGCTCTGGAATATGAGCGGGACCACAAATGGCACGGCCCGAAGATGCTGTGGTATTCGATCGGCCTCTGTGCCATCGGAGCTGCGACGCAGGGTTGGGATCAGACTGGTTCCAACGGTGCCAACCTGACATTCCACGAGGCACTTGGCATTGACAGCGGGTCCTCCAGAGACGAGTGGCTCATTGGTCTGATCAATTCCATCATCTTTCTCACGGCTGGTCTGATGTTGGTGACCATCATTTCCCGGGTCCTATCGCAATTGCTGACTACTCGCACGCAGTGGCGCCTTTATTGTCGATCCTCTAAACCACTACTTCGGCCGGCGCGGCGAGATCTTTATCACGGCTTTGTGCCTTACCGCTACCCCGATCGGCTCCGGCTTCGCGCAAACATGGCAAGGTCTCTTCGCGGCGCGTTTCGTGATGGGCATCGGCATCGGCGCGAAGAACGCCACCGTGCCCATCTACTCCGCTGAAATGGCTCCCCACCGAGTCCGTGGCGCACTCGTCATGTTCTGGCAACTCTGGGTCGTCGCAGGCATCTTTCTGGGCTTCTGTGCAAATGTCATTGTTAAGGACACCGGCGATATCTCCTGGCGACTCCAGCTGGGCTCGGCCTTCATCCCATCCTTCGTCTTGGCTATTGGCATATTCTTCTGCCCCGAGTCCCCGCGTTGGCTCATGAAGCATGGCCGACACGCTGAGGCTTTCCGCTCCATGTGCAAACTTCGAGCCCATAATATCATCGGTGCTAGAGACTTCTACTACTCATGGGTCATCTACGAGGAGGAGCTCAAGGAGGCTCGTGGCGCAGGGTACTTCCGTCGCCTTTGGGACTGTTTCTCCATTCCCAGAATTAGGCGTGCCAACTACGGCGCTAGCACTGTAATGCTTGCCCAGCAAATGTGTGAACCCTCCCGATCTTCATCTCTGACTTGTTATGCTGACCCGACTAGGTGTGGAATCAACATCATCTCCTTCTACAGCTCTACAATTTTCGTCGATGCAGGTTACACGCCTGTGGAGGCGCTGTATGCTTCGTTGGGTTACGGCGCCATTCAAGTTATTGCGACAATCCCTACCCTTTTCCTCATTGATACCAAGGGGCGAAGGACCCTCTGCATGATCGTGAGTCAAGATGGGCCGAAGTTGCCGAATGCAGACTGACAGCCTTAGACCTTCCCTCTCATGTGCATTTTCCTTCTGGCTGCTGGTCTGTCCCTGTTGAACCCAACTGAGGACCGAGGACCAAAGATTGGACCGGTCGCTTTGTGAGTAGCATCACTCGTATGAATCCTTTAGCTAGACTAACACTCCGGCGACCCAGGTTCATCTACCTATTCACTATCTGCTACTCCTTGGGTGAAGGCCCTGTCGCATTCCAGTATTCTGCCGAAGTTTTCCCAACCATTCAGCGTGAGCAAGGAATGGCCTGGGTTGTCTGCATCAACAACACCTTCGGTAAGTCTGGCGATATTTCACATCGAGGACAACGGACTGACAAGCTTAACAGCCGGTATTCTCAGCTTGACCTTCCCGCGCATGAGCACTGCCATGACTCCAACTGGTGCTTGTAAGTAGTCTAGCGAATCTTGGTCCTAATCCTACGACTGACCCCTCTGCCACAGTTGGTTTCTACGCTGGACTTAACCTTATTGCCTGGGGTATGATCTTCTGTTTCGTCCGAGAGACTAAGCAACTCACTTTGGAAGAGTTGGACCGTAAGTCTAACTACATCTCTTTCATTCTGCCGCTGTGTTAACTCCGCTCCCAGAGGTCTTCTCGATCCCGACAAAGCAATTCATCAGCCACGAGATCAAGTACTCTATTCCCTATTTCTTCAAGCGCCATGTCTTCAGACAGAAGGTTCCCAAGCCTCCCGCGATCATCGCCGTTGCTAGCGAATCGAAGAAGGATAGTGGCTCTAACTCGGCTTAAAGTCAACAAATTATAATAAATAGAGTTTGCGAAGAGAATCTTGGATATAGGATATATCTTTATAGTAACTAGTTTATTTCAGGTGCCGGACTTAGGTTACCGCTAAGTGTACAGGTTAGACTGGATGGGAAAGCTTTGGCTAAACAGAAGGTTTCTATAAATCGGGAATCGCCTCATACACACGTCCGATGATATATTAACAGTGAATTAGTGGCAGAGCATCATGAATCTGGTGCCATCATGAGACGCGCTTCGCACGCAGAAACAACCAGAGATGCTTTATGAATGGCTTGTGCATCCAGGGTCGATTTGCCCAGGTTTCAACAAGAACGGGACAGTGCATTTGTAACCCAACGCTACTGGATTCGTCTGAGAATCGCGTGCACATGTTCCTAAATCTGCGCTCATACTCATACTCTGCCGACGTAACTCAGCAAGTGAAGTTGTGATTAAATGTGTTGCAATTTTTACTTGAATATCTAACTCTATAATCGCTGTGGCATGGAATGGTGCGGCGCCCCATGGGGCTGGGAGTGGGATATGTGAGACTCTTTGTCAATTTAAAGCACAGATTACAATGCCACTTCATTGAGAGCGTAGTGCTCACGTACCTACCTAATGCTCACCCATCCAGAGCTCCTGATCGATGGTCTTGTTAACACACAGTCATTTTCCTACCAGAAGGCGTATCCTGGAAATGCTCAAACGGTGGAAACAAAGCAGTTCTGCGCGAAAAGTATTTCTTGATACACGATTTCGGGTCATTTACCAAGGTTAATCCATGGAAACGCATCCAACACGACCAGAACAAGAGCAAAATTCATAGTTAACAAGCCTAGTGGTTGCCGTTACGGTTGCGCCGTCAGAGAAATGGTAGGGCAGCCCTCTCTTCGGCCAGGCACGCCTCAAAGTTGTAAGACTCAGCTGGCTCGGTCCTTCACCATTTAACCTTCACCGAGTCAGCAGTGTCTCTACGTGCTGGCTTGCTTAAAGATGAACAAGCCGCCAAGTTGTCGGCCGGATCTTATGTTAATAATCGCTACAGGGCATAACACGTGCGGCGTTGGCTATGGATCCTTTCTACCGGCGTGTTGGCCCTCACCGCTGCTGGACTGTTCATAGACTGCTGGAGAACAAGGGCAACGCTATCTCGCTATGCCGAAACATAGGATTAGCGAGTCTGCCATTTCAAATCGTCTGAACTACATTTAGTAACTAACACAAGTCCTGAAACTAGTGTCATCCAACTCAAACACAAACTCTTCGACGGCGCTCTATCCTATGACTCGGCAGGCGATCTGACACGAGAGCACGCGCCTTATGAGCGAATATGGATCGGAGATCCAGGCCCGGAGATGGACCGTCTATGGGATCATGTTGAAGCTGGTACAGTCTTTTTGTACTCTTTCTGGTTGCTTTGATACTGATGTTAGCCAGTTGCATATAGCATCGAGAGTACTCTTGCAATGGGCCGAGGCAGACCTTGTGCGGGATCGTATTACGCTTAGGAACAGTTACTCGGTAACAGGTCTCGATGTTTTCCACCAGGTCCATTGCATTGTATGCTCTGTCTATGAGATTGAGTCATCTGTTTACAGAGCTGATTCGTGTCTAGAATCAAGCACGACAAGCCCTTTATCCGGAATAGTATCCTCCTTACCAGAGCAGTCGAGCACACAAGCTTCATTGGGGTAGGTCTCCTCTCCCATTGAACTCCGCCTGTGACTCGTTGAACCCGCGGTCCAGGTTCAGGTATACCGCCTAAGACTGACACTAACAATGGAAATCTGGCAGAACACTGCCTCGACTACGTGCGACAGGCCGTTCTATGCAATGCCGACATCACCCTTGTGACTCATAAATGGCTCGAGTCGGCACAGATGTTTGGACCCAATTTCTGCACACAGCACACATCCAGAAGTTCGAGGCACTGATGGATTGGTCACTGAGAGGTCACCGAACGTACGGGCACAGCAAGGTCCCGGCTCCGAGGTTGCCGAGGACGAGACAGTGGTCATGTCTGGTGAGCGCCTAGAGAAAACAAAGGCCGCACTGGGTGCCAGTGGTCATGGACATCACGGCCCCTGAGAAAGTAGATCACGATGTGAACCAAGACCTCGTATTGGCCCTCCAAAAAGATAATACAGTGCCTCGTTGTGTTGGAAGTGCTCATGTACATTCGTTTTTCTAGTAGAAAATTTACCAAGAGTTATCATTATTCCAGACCGTGTCTTCTGGTTTACAAATGGCACACTACAAAGCAGGATTGATTGTTGGCTATTATGTAGGTGCAGTACTTTTTATGGGGTTATTCCACTGGAAAACTTATATCAAGTAAGTTCGAAACTAACAGTGAAACTTGCCCTTTGCTGTAGGTATTGTTATCACCCCTGCTTACGCAGAAGAAGTATCGGGTCTTCCACGTTGCACAGCATAGAGCTTCGCAAATGCCCCATCAACCCTCGCCAATAGCTCATTCGGCTCACCATACTCAAGTAACACGCCCCCATCTAGAACAACAACCTTATCAAATCTACGAACACCAGCGAGACTGTGGGTTGCCATGATGACAGTGCTAGTCGCAAACTCCGACTCGACAATGGCTCCTATGTAAGATTCGGTGCTGGCGTCAACACTGTGAATCATGAGTGATACTTAGTGTCAGCTTTCAAACTGCATCATCATATCTTTTTTCAGATATGAACGCAAGGAGAGGGAGGGTCTATTACTTACCCGCTGCTCGGCTCATCTAAAACCAGGACCGGGCTCTTGCGCAAAAGCGCACGGCCGAGGCAGAAAAGCTTTCTTTGCCCTTGGGACAAGAAGTCCTCTTCCATCTTCATATCAAGTATCGAGAATTCTAGAGGGTGAGAGATCTCTGTGCTCTCCTTTGATCGGAAGATATCCCATAGCCCAACCTTCTGCAGGGCAGAGATGATGACAGTATCTGTAGCCTCGCCATGCGGATCTGCATTCAGCCTAACACTCCCGCCGAACAAGAAAGGGTCTTGTGTGAGACATGTGAGCTTCTGGCGGGTGACATCTTTATGTACTAATGCAAGATCGACATCGTCTAAAACAATCTTCCCGGTAGACTCCTCGACCATGCCGAGCAGGGATAAAAGAAGTGAGGTTTTGCCACTTGCGGCACTTCTATTAGCAAGTTTCTCGTCATAAGGCTTGTGGGACGATTTAAGCTTGTAACTCTTACCTTCCTGTCCTGCCGCATATGGCAACTTTCTCCCCGGCCTGGATCGAGATATCGATGTTGCGAAGTACGGGGTGACTGTGGTATGATGTTAGCTACTGCTTTAGACTGGTACAAAACTCCAGAAAGTATAAAGTGAGATATGGATACCCATTATAGTGAGCCGACCAATTCTCAATGACCACCGATCCCTGAGAGGGCCAGCCAGCGAGAACTCTTGTATCCGCAATCTCGCGAGGTTTCTCGGTCGGAGTATCCTCGGAGAAAGTCTTGACGCGCGAAATGGCACCCAAGGACGTCTCAAGCAAGGTCCAAAAGGTGATAAGGGCAGCCAAGGATTGGCCAAGATTCATCATGCTGACAAGGGCAACGCCGAGGAATCCGGCGTCCAGTCTGCTGCGGAGCGTGACGCCTAGGGTGGTGAGCAGTATCGCGAGCCCAGCTACCGTCAGTCCCAATACAAGAGTCAGCCATCGCTGAATGCAGAGGAGCAAGTAATAAGGCTTCTGGGCCCTGTCAAGGAGGGCGAGATTCTTGGCGACGTGGTTGCTCGTCCAGCCATATGCTCGGATAGTGGCGATGCCCTGGAGAGACTCCAGAACGTGAGAATAGAGAGGTGCTTTCGCTTCCAGGCTAAGCCAACGTTAGTACTTCACATCGTTTGCAAGGTAATATTAGGCATTACTCTAGTAGTCGAAGCTGCCGGGATGTCCTTAGATAAAAGCGCTGGAGGAAGAAAAGAGCGCAGGCGACGAAGGGCAGTACAGCTGCGAAGTAGGAAACAGCGACAATGGCCAACGCTGCAACTGCGAAACACGCAGCAAGCTCTATGATTCTCAAATCAGCGACCAGCTTCCTAGAGAATTGCGTTGAAGTTGCTACGGACGAAAGTTCGCATTCACGAGTGCCCCGGGTAAGGTCATGTCAACCAATTGCATGTCTTGACTAAATCTGTCATGGGGAAAGAATACATACGCGTTAGCTCAAACTCTTGTTGTCTTACGCGAAAGTCATGACATACCTGTTAACCAACACCCCAGTGTCGGTCTTGGCGAGAAAAGACATTGGAGCTCTGTAGTTACCGTAAGAACATGAACAAGCCACTGACAACAAGAATTTGGCGATTTTACCGTATAACTGCCCGAAGGACGGTCAAGTGGAGAGAATGTGCAGACTTAGGTACGATCACCACGTACATGTAGCTGGGTATAACCATTAGCTTAAGAGCCTCAAGCATGATGCTTGGTGAGCCTCCAGGCTTTGATAAGTCAGGTTCGACACCGCAGTAGAAGAACTCACTAGACCGCAGAAATAAGACCAGCCGCAGTAAAAACACCAAAAAGGGCATATAACCCAAGCCAGTAACCAAGCCGTGATGCTTGCGATCCGTCGCTGTTTCGGGCCCACAGTGTGATCCATGCATCTGTACTCACACACATCAGTTTCGAGTCTGACTTACTGCGGCTGAGTGGCACTACACCAGCACTGATAAAAAGGGGCGGATCTGATGGAAGAAGGATGCTTACATTGCAAGGTGCTGAATGCCACGTTTGAAGCTACGAAGATACCGAACAAGGCGAAGCTAAGCCATCCCAAAGACGAGAAGTAGTATAGATAGATGGACAAGTCTCCCACCTGTCGGTTGTCATCTCGTCTCGTACTTGAGCCCTGAGTTTCACCAGCTGAAATTTTGGGAGGTGGGCTATTTTCTGAGCTCGCCGAAAGGCCATCGTCTCCGGCTAGCTGTGGCGCAAGAGAAGCCATATTCTCAGATGAGCTCTGCTGAATGATTTGTCCTTGGTCGTCAAGTAAGATAGTTTGGTCCGCGATGGCGCATAGACTCACTATGTGTGGTCGTTAGTAGAAACGACACGTTTCCTAAACGCTATATGAGCTTCTCAAAATTCATTGTTACTCACCAGAATGCGTGGCCAAAATGGCTGCTATACCCAGCTTCCGGATCAGACCATCAGCTCCGAAGACACGCGTGGTGACGATGTCGTGGGTGGCGGCATCCAGGCCACTCAGTACATCATCAAGGACAGCGATAGGCTTGCGCGCATAAAGTGCCCGAGCTAACATCTGTTTCATCTCAGTACGCAATACAATAGTCAGGCGCCGAGACATTTCTCACCAGGCGTTGCTTCTGCCCACCGCTGAGCGAAACCCCTTTGCTCCCGACATTCGTCGCGTCACCGTCCGATAACTGCACCAGATCCACTTGTAAAGCGCAAGCGTGAATGACAGTATTGTACCAAACAGCGTCGAAGTCAGTTCCCGAGACAATGTTTTCTCGGACGGAGCCGTTCGAAACCCACGGGCTTTGATCGCAATAGGCTAGCTCCTTGCTACTGACCCAGACAGAGCCGTTGAATATGGTGACTTCACCGAGAATGGCCTTTAGAATTGTAGACTTGCCACAGCCGACTGGTCCCACAATGACTGTGAGATGATGATTTTGGCCAATGCGCAGTGACATGTCTTTGATTACATGGCTGGAGCCTTACCAGCCAACGGTAGCCTTATGGATGATCACATAGTCGGAGTTGAAGATCGTACGAGGAAGAGGCTTTTTTGGTGTTGATTGTGGACGTTGAATCATTTCCACATGGTTGTTGCCCGGAGGCGCCTGAATCATATCCGGCTCATCGTGGCTCTCCAGATTCGTTGTTTCTAGCGGGCACTCAGACAGTCGTTTGTCGTCCCAGGACTCGCTAGCAAGAAAGTCCTGGATTCTTTGAAAGCAACCCAAGGCAGCATATGCCTGAGGAATCACCACTAACATCTTGCCTAGAGGCTCCATGAGGACGGAGAGAATGGACAGGGCTGTGACTGCCTGCGTCACCGTCACAAAGCTGTTACCCTGAACTTTGGCGGCGATTGCAAAGATCGCGAATGTGAAGAACTGAGAGAACAGCGAGGGTAAGTTTACTGCGATTCATCAGTGCCTGCGCTGGATCAACTTATAAGGTAAGCTTACCAAGGCAGACATTGAAGCTGGACAAGCGCCTGAACCTCTTGGAGAGGTCCAGCTCAGTAACACGCATACCCTGTATGAGAGATTCAAATTTGTTGCTAAGCCCCAACATCTTGACACTTCTCATCGAGCCTAGGATATGTGCGGTAAAGTTAATCCTGGCTTGAATCGCTTCGAGCCAGACCTTCTGGCGGGCAGTCACAAACCCAGCCGCTCTGACTGACATGGCGGTCGCCACTACCAAGTCGTAAAGTTAGCAGCGTAAACCAGTGAATAAAGCAACTCTAAGCCCAATCGACATGAGTACATTGACTTACCCAACGCGACGATGACTGAAGTGACACACACGAGACCGATTTGCATCTGTAAGAACCACACAGCAAAAGCAAGCTGAATGGCACTCGCCCAACTTTCGGCGACCGCAAGATGCCATGTCTCGCAGATTCGTTCGACGTCTGTACTAATCAAGGTCATCGCAGCAGAATCACCGACTTGCGTCGACGGCGATTGGACAATCTTGTCATAGATCAGGGAAATGAGGCCGCCCCTGACCATAGCCATGAGTCGAAAGGAAAGGTGCTGATAAAAGCCTGTCGCAATCTTGTGACACGCATATCTAATCAGCGGCAACCCGGGAGGGGGGAAGGAAGTTGAGCTTACGGGTATCCCTAAGTATTATTCGGAGGCGATTTAAGTAGAATCGGCTATATAAACTATAAAATATAATCCGAGCTTTGAAGCAATATCGGTTAGAGTTAGGTCGGCGCTATAATTAGTCGGTGCTTTTTATTAACTAGAGACTCGGGGTTAGGGTTATATAGGTAGTTATTAGGGTTAAGCTATAAAAAAGGGGTATTAATAAAGTAATTAAAGAATAATAGATAGGAAGATCACTTTATATAGCTTATTTATTATTAAAGAGTAGGAAACGGTATTAAATTACTATAGATAGCTTTATTGAGATTAACGAGAAGTATTGTATGCTTATCTATTGGAAATATAAAGTAGCTATTTAACTTAGTAGCGGTATTAAGTTATACTTTTATTATAAGTATTGGCTAAAAGGAGAGGTTTTTAGAGATATTAAGGACTACTATAGTTATTTAGATCTAGTTAATTTAAAGGTTAATGCTCTGCCCAGTAATAATAGCTCGGCTATTAAATAGCTTAACGTTTTATAGGGGTATAGTTACTTTATATACCGCTATTTTATTATAATAAACGATAATATTATACACTATTAATAGGAGGCCGGGTATACGGTGACTAGGCCGAAGTTAATAAAGGTCCGGTTATAGACGTAGATATATAAAAAGTATATACGATATTAAATTATTAATAACGACAAGACCGAGGTAAGACCTAGTTTAGGTAATAGTAGCGGGAAGGATATTATAGAGCTAATAATAGCTTAGTATATAGCCGAACTCGATACTAAAGATACCGAGCGGCTAAAAATAAGGGATTTAAAAGAAAATATAAACCGGGACTTATTATAAGTAAAGAGGTTATAATAAGTTAAGTATTTTAGGTCTTACGATTTTTTTAGGATTTATAACGCTATTAAATAGATACGGGCTAAAAGTATAGTATTAGGATAAGGCTAGGAACGGGACGAAGAGGTTATGCGGGAGCGATTAGTTTTATTTTATTTTGGGGAGAGCTTTAATTATGAAGTAGAACGGTGTAGTTAGTAACTAAATAGCGTATTAGCCGAGACGTTTTAATAGCTTATTAGTATTATAAATATTAGCCTTAGCGGGATACCGTTCGGGTTTAAAAATAAAGAGGCGTTTATAATTAAATATTAGTTAATAGGGTATCGGTATTTAAGTTTTTGTTAATAGGTGTATTAAATTAAAAAAGACGAGGCGCTAGAGCGTTAAGCTATCCGCTTTACGAACGAGTAGTAGGGCTTATTATATAACGTAATAGCCGAGTTAAATAAAAGTAGTATAGCTAGTAATTATAATAGCGGGTTCTATAACGGTTAAGATAATAACGATAATAGAGAAAGGATTAAAGGTATCCGTTCTTAGGGTAATAATAAGATATTTAACTAGGCCGTATTTTCGTTTCTCGTCGCTTTAATTAAAACCTAGGTCGGTAGGTAAGTATATTTTAATTTATTATTATATTTTTATATAGCGTTAGGGATCTAAACCCGCCTAGTTAGGTATATAGAGCTATATTTATATACGGGTATATTAGTAGCTATTCTATAGTAGTCCCGGCTCTTTTTTTTAGAGGCTACGTTCGAGGGCTAGCCCCGGGACTAGGACGAGGTCGGGATCTAAATAGTGCTCGCGTTCTAAGACTAATACGCCGCTTAGATATATATAAATATATATATAGTTATTAATACGATAATTAAGTAGATAGCGCTAAATAGAGGCTAGTAATTATAAATAAGCGGATAGCTATTAATACGTTAGGTAGACGACGGCGAGTTATTATTTTATAACGGCGAGTATATCGTCGTTTAGGACTTTATATAGGCGCTCTAAGACTAGGTCGTCGACGTATAAAAGCTAATCGGCTTATTATATAGGGGGGATTAAAAAACAATTAAAATATAGATTAAGCTAGGACGGATCGCTAATAGTATAGTATAGCTCGGGGCGGGATAGTTATTTATAACGAAGCTAGAAAATAGCTAGCTAGAACCCAGACCGGGGGTTATAATAAAATAGTTAAGGGCGTCGATATAGGACTTTAAAAAGTAATAATTTAAGCGCGAAGGGGTACGACGGTAGCTCCGGTAGCTAAAGATATTTTAAGAGGTATTTATAATACTCGTTTATATATAGGGTAGGTTACTTAACTAAGGGCCCGAGGTAGCGACGTTATAGTACTACGACTCGTAATAACTTATTTATAATATCTTTATACTCGATAGGTAGGTAATAATCGTAACGGACCGAGATAAAATAAAGACGATCCGGGATAATTTATATAAAGTAGTATAGTTTATACCCGAGGGGATCGGGTAAATAATAATAATATATATTACGTAGCTAATACCGGTAGAACGGGTACTCCGGTATAAAAGTAGACTAAACGAACTATATAGAGTATAATTAGAGTTTATATAGCGGGATAGTAGCTCGGGGGTATAAGAAACGGAACGACTTAGCTAGACGCTAGCGTAGGTAATATAAATAACGATAGGTATACGTTTAGGGGTAGGACGGTACTAGGTAATAGCTATTAAAATAGGCCGTTAAATATAGGGGCTCGCGCTATAATAAATTAAGAGCCGGCTCGACGACGATAATAAAGACGAGGACGATATCGAAGTAGACCCGGTTATTAAAGAGCCGGTATATTATAAAAGAAGCTAGAATATTATATAGGATTTAATATCGACGTATAAGAGCTAGGTAATATAATAATATTATACTATTTATATTAGGTTCTTAGGTAAGCTATAGCCTAAGATAATCGCGACGTTTTAAAAAATTAGCCGGCTATAGTATCGGTTTTTAAAAAGGGAGGCGGCTAGGGAAGCGGCCGGGGAGGGGAAATAAAAAAGGGCGGACGATATAGTAAAGGAGGAGACGTAATAATAAGCGGGACTCGGCTAGTATAAATAGAAGCGGAGTAGGGCGGTAATAGAGGATATAGAGGATGCGGGGGATATAGTAAATACGGACGAGGTAATAGCGGCGGGGCTATATAAGCTATTCGGGCCTATAGCGATATAGTATAGTAATTAATAGGCCGAGAGTATATAGGTAATTATAGTATTAAAAAGTAATTAGTCGGTTATTAGTATACTACTAACCGGGGCTAGTAAGAGTATATTATTTATATTACTAGCGGTAATAATAAAGGGCAGGATAAGTATTATAGTTATATTATTCGTGGCGTTAATAGAGGATCTAGTTATATACGCTATATTAATAGGTATTAATTACGTCCGTTTTTAATCGTTATTAAACGCTAGATAAAAAAGGCTATTACGGGCTGCGTAGTTAGTAATTATTAATATTAATATTATTATTATAGAGGAGTTTTCTATTTATATTAACGGGTTAGCGTATATTAGTTTATTCCGGTAGATCTTTATTGTTATGGTTAGCTAGTCGTAGTAAGTATATTAATAGAAGTTAAGGCTGCGAAGGCTAAGTAAATAGTGTCGTAGTTATAGATAGCTTTTTTAAAGCTATGTTTATAAGTCGTAAGGTAGGTAAGGCTTTGGTAATTAATCGTAGTCTTGTTAAAAGGGGTTTTTAGTAAAAATAGTTAAAAGCGATCGTAAGATTTAATATTAAGTTAATTATTAAAGAAGTTATAGGAAGTCTGTTTTTGAGCCCGGCTTAAGTCTATACTATATATAAGTCTCGTTTTTAAATATATTTTTTGTGATACTTCTATTTATTATTATTTAATTATTTACTGAACGGTTGTACGTCCTATTTAATTACGGGCGTTTGTTTTTTATTTTATTGTGTGATCGTGGTTACGTAACTTGTTTATAGTTCTTTCGTTCTGAGAGGAGTTATTTTGAGTTCGTTGCTTTTATATATATAGTGTAGTAGCTGCCGTAGGTCCTGTAGGGCAGGCCCTGGTTTTATTATGCGTGTTAGGTCGTAATATTAGCTCCTCTTTTTAAAGGTTTAGTCCTTTAGGCCTATAAATAGGTCGCCTATTTTTAGGTTAGGGAATCGTTAAGTATGTTTTTATTTGAAAATGTGCTAATACGATGTTAGGTCGAATTGAAAAATTAAGGTTTTAAATAGCTATGTCTCGTTGTAAACTATTATGTATTATTTGTTTTTTTAACGAGGGTATAGAAATTATATTTTATTTGAATTGTTATTTACGAGGCGTTCGGTACTTAGTTCTTTTTAATTCCGATGTTTATAGAATATATTATCGTTTAGGTATTTCTTACGATGCTTCTGCTAATACTATTTATATTTATGAGTGTTATATTTCTTGCTTGCTAGGTCTAGTTAATTAGGTATAGTTAATCGTTTAATATTAGAATTTAATCGTTTTAATTGTGAAAAAGAAATAGAGGAGTTGCAATTTTAAAAGAGAGCTACGGAGTTATAAAAGAAAGCTAAGGCTTATTAGAAAGCTTAGGCCGAGTTAAATAAGTCGTTATTTAAGTTAGAACGTCTTTGTTTATAGAAAAGAATGGTTTTTAAGAAAAGTCGTGTTGTGTTAAAGGAATTCTTTAAAGATGTTGAGAGTATTTTTTTAGCGGCCCGCGAAATATAGTTTAGCGGTGCTTTTAGCGTGGTTAATTAGGACGCTATAATGATTAGGAGTTCTGGGTTTAATTTTAATTTCGGTATTCCTTAAGAAGCTATTAGGAGTTTTAGAAGTTCGTGATAGGTTTTTATATATTTTCCTTATGTCCGTAATTCTTTTATTTAATTAGGAATTCTCGTGTTTCGTTCTTGACTCTGTGGTTAATAATTTTTTTGACTTCGTATTTTAATTCGTTTAGTTCTACGATAATATAATTTTCTGTATATAAACCTTTAGGTGCTAGTTCGAGAAGTGAAATATAAAAGACTGGGTGGTATTTTATTGTGTTTAGGAGTCTTAATTCGTAGTTAATTAGTAAGACTTTTTTAATAATT